GTCTTTAAACACTTCATGGGTCCAAACTGAACAATGGTGTGACAGATGGTGTGTTTGGAGTCCAACATTCAGATTATTTTTTGCTATTAATAATTGTTGTTTTAGACATAATACTTTAGCAGCAAATGCAAAAAGCATTCCTGTCAAAGCCAGATGAATGAGATAAAAAACAAACGGGGAGAAAGAAAGCAAAGGCGGTGGATGTGAATGAGCTTTCAGTGCAATAGCATTGGGCTGTAAAGCCCGAAGAAGAGAACGAGAGTCTGAAAACTTATGTTAAAAGAAGAAAATCTTTTATCATATTCTTTCCTTTACATGCAGACACTGTCACCATTACAATTCCCAATTCTTTTTATGCCTAATAAGTAAAAAGCATGCTTAAAAATCCAACTTCAAAATTCTGCACCCATTTTCCTGTGTGCTGATATCAGGAGACGGCAGCAAGTGACTCATTACTAATGGAAAATATCTGAGAAAGATAGATGAAGGGGAGCCAGTGGTGACAGAGTGGGTGTGGGGGGTGCAAACTGAGAGAGGAACACAGAGCGAGGAGATAGGGATAGATATGGATGAAGGCAGGAGACAGAAGCAGAGGTTTCTAAATGTGACTCATTACAATGAAGCAATGTGAGTTAACTTTACTGTGGAGCAAATATTTGGCAATTACTGGAATTTCACTATTTTTCTTCCCGCTCTCAGACCACCACCCCTCTACTCCGTCCCCCACTCACTGCTGTCCCTGCTCTGTCTGCTGTTAGGCGTATCTAGTGAAGGTAGTGTTTGGCTGATGGGAGCAGAAGGGTTAGAGAGACGTCTACTGGTGAAATGTGGTAACTTCAGCTGGTTTATTAACTGTAGTGGTGAATAAAAACAAAGCTGCATGGTGGAAGACTTTAGAGATGAACTGCACCAGTATGTCAACAATATTTCAGAGCAGATCTTGTGTTTTATAAATTTATCCTTAAAAATAGCCTTTATTTTGTCATGCAATTGCAAAAAAGCATGACTTGGCCATAAAATCAAGAAAGCAAAAGAACTCAAATTGAAAAAAGAACTGAAAATCGTGCGATAAATACATTCCAGTTACAGCTAGTGAGGAAAATACAGAACTGCCAAAGCTGGAATTTAATGTCTGAATCCAAACGAACATTTGCAAAGAGTTATTCGAAATCTGGGAAATTATGCAAATTATTAACACATCTAGGATGACATGTTTAGTAAATTTGACTAAAAAGGCATCACAATTATATGCAAAATAACATTAAATTAAATTAAAGATTAATGCATCTTACAAATCAGTGTAGAAAGCATCTACAAACAGGCGCTCTCATTTTATGCTCTTAATAAGAGTTTTAACCCTTTCAGCATAGTGGTCACTACAGTGGACAGCTATTCAAAGGCTGTTTTCTTGTATTGGGGTCAGTGTTGATAGGATACTTGCTCATAAAACACTACCTTGGACACTGATGCGTCACTCCATACCTGCCACCCACTGGTCAGCCAGTGGACATGTAAAAAAACCTCTTATGTTTAAGAAAAACATCCTGATTGAGGTTGTCATAATTCATGCATGAAAGGGTTAAATGTGATATTGTGTGGTTATATTAAGCTTCCAGGGTTTCCTGCAAAGACACTGCTTACAACTGAAATCAACAGATCTTGAACGTTGTATTTTTTTATACAATTATTATTTCTTCTTGAAAATTCTCAAGCGCTGCTATTTCTTGACATTTTAATCATGTCAGTATTATACAGTATCCCAGATGTTCAGCACAGGAATGCATCCTGCAGGGTCACACAGATCTTATTGAACATTAAGTAGAAAGTTTAGACGATTTACTGATGAAGTACATTTTGCTCGTGGCACTTTATCTTTGCATTATCATGATCCCACATTGCTTCCATTTCTATTATAAATGACCTCAGTGTGTTTTTATTACAGTCAAGGATTTTTATCAAGTTCTCAATTTCTGATCACATAACTAAGAAAAATGTACTACTCTATTGTTTACAAAAGGCACAATAGTACAGTACCCTGTAAAGGTCTTACTAAGGTTATTAAAACATGTGCAAACACAGAGACAGTTCTAACAAGCTTAAGTCTTAGATAGTCTTCAGGAATCGTTCTCCAGGCTTCTTGAAGGACATTCAAAGCTCTTCTTTGGATGTTTCTGCTTTTTGCTCTGTTCCCTGTCCAAAGGATCCCACACTGCTTCAATCATGTTGAGATCCGGGCTCTGTGGAGGCCGATCCATGAGTGACAGTGCTCCATGGTCTGTTTCTCTGTCCAGTTATGCTTTTACTGTATTGGCAGTGTTATGGATCACTGTCATGTTGAAAAAATGAAGCTGGTGTCATTGCATGGTGGATCAAAATCTGACAGTATTTTTCTGCATTCATAATTGCATCAGTTTTAAGAAGCTCCCCAACACCACTTACTGAGATACAACCCGAAAGGCAGAGTCTCCACCATGGCTGTAGGCATTCACTGGTGTACATCTTTCCTGATCTCCATACATACTCATAATCATTTTAATCAAAAATTTCCCCATTTGGAGTCATCACTACATTATACCTACTGTCTGATTTTCAGTCCAGTTCTTGTGTAAGTCAGCCTCAGAGTTTCCTCCCTGTTTCCCTTCCTGAAGAAGCGCTCCTTGACAGCCACCCATCCACTGAGACCATTGCTGATGAAGCTTCAGTGAACAGTAGATGGATCAGCTAAATGGTCAGATGCATCTCTCAGGTCCTGTGTCAGGTTTTTGCTGGATTTCTTCCTGTTTTTTAAGAACATGACATTCGCATGCTGTCTGTCTGCTGTGGATAGCTTTTCAGACCTGCCACATCTTCTTTCGTCCTCCTCTTGTCCAGTTTCCTCATTTTTTTGACTGCACATCATGTCGAGATGTGCCAGAGCTGAGAGCTCTTTGGGAATCGTGTTGCTTGTGAAAAGATTTTGTTTTATATCTGTTAACTTAACTCTCTGGTTTGTCAAACCATCAATATTTTTTATAGATTCAGCTGAACAAAAGTTGGGTTTTTGCAACAGCCTAAAGATACTATTTAAAATTGGTTCTTTTGATAAGTTTTATATTATGTGCAGAAACAACCGACGCTAGTTTATCCCTAGTTTGTGTTTGTGTTTAATATCCTGATTACTGTATTAACCCAAACACAAAAAGGTCAGAGAAGAAGACAAAGACGACAACATATTAACTGTTAAATGTTCTGTTTAAATATTCTTGTTGTAGAGTTGTTAAGAATAAAACGTCGAGCATGTGCATCACAGATATGATCACAGGGTCGTGCTGTTCTTCATTTAGCCAATTATATCTGACAGTTTGGAAAAACAGGTAGTGTTGTGTCGCCAGGCAGTGTCTGATATGTTGGCTTAATAGTTATAATGACAGACTAATACTGTATCGTCAAAACCGAGAGCCACTTACTGAGAGACACCAGAAAATATTAATTAGGGACTTTAGTTTAGTTCAGACAAAACTACGTGTACTGCAGTTATTATTGGGTGCAATTGTTAATGTACTTTATGTTGAATTTTAACAATGGACTCACTTACCCTCTACTATAGTGTGTGCTATTCCTCACCATGACTTGATAAATCCATCCAAATAAGTGTGTGTGTGTGTGTGTGTGTGTGTGTGTGTGTGTGTGTGTGTGTGTGTGTGTGTGGAGTACACTAATGGATCATATTTCCCATGGTGTCATTCACCAGCCGTGTTCCATTAATCTTCCATGCACTCATATTGCCTTGATAGTACTACCATCCATTCACACAACACAGTCTCAGCTCACACAGGTGTGTGCCCGACGCGCTGCTGTAATTTCACCTGTTTCTCTTTATCTGAGCGGTGGACTTATGATCACAGTCTGCAGTTTGGTGAAACACAGCATTACTGCATGTTCAGTATGGTGACCCTAAAAAATTAACTAACTGCAACCAGTGAAAACATGCACGCAAACTGTAAAACGTGCACTGATGACTACTTACAACTATCAAACCTGCAAAAGTGTGGCAGTGCGAGTGTTCTCTCGTGTGTACCGAAGGTGGAATTATTGTCTCTCTAGCCTTGTGAGCCTTTACTCTTAAACAAGGGAAAATCTTTATCTGAAAACGTGTTTTTAGTTTGCCGTTCACAAATTCAATATTTTTCCTTCACTGTCAGACTGTCAAATGTGGTTCATGTGTTTGGAAAGCTCGACCTTTTCTTAAACATAACCAAGCAGGTTTAAGTAAGCAAACTGCAAATAAAAGCTAAAAAGGAAAAAGACCTTCTGAAAAAAAGCTTCTCTAGTTGATGCATGTTGTGAAAAAAAAACTATTTTAAGCTACAACTACGAAAGCAGCAGCAGTAGTTCCTACTCCCTGTACCTGGTTCTGCTAGAGGTTACTTCCTGTTAAAAGGGAGTTTTTCCTTCCCACTGTGGCCAAGTGCTTGCTCGTGGAGGGGTCATCTGATTGTTGGAGTTTTCTCTCTATTGTAGGGTCTTTGTTAATTTATTAGCTTCTAATTAAATAGACCGCCAGATGATTTTGTGACTCTCATGTTAGCGCATCTGGTCCAGTGTGTCTCTGTGTGCATTTGTCTTTTTCTGTGCTTCATTGGTGTGGTTTTCTGCGCTTTTATTTTTGCAGGCCGTTAATAACGCCTCTAAATGCAGCTGCGAGTTATCAAAAAACACATTCAAATGAAAAGCTGATATCAGCATTCTGCATGTTTGTGTGTGTTTGTGTATTTTGTGTGAGTGAATGAGTTTCCAGCTTCACTGCCGATTTGGAAAAATGTGCCAATCTGAAGATAATTGAAGTAAGATTGTTGTCAAAGCAGTCAGATGTGAGCAGTTTATTAAAAAAAAA